CCTGGTCTACAATCAATAACCTAAGGACATGCTTCATTGTTACTTTAAAAATCTTTGGTGGCATGAGACACTGAAGGAATCTCAACTCTTCCACAGGGGTAGACAGTTTGGATGGGTAATTAGAATCAGGAAAACAGGGGGACCAACTAAGCACCACAGAAACAGCACTGCTGAACAGGTAAGGGATCAAGAGGAGGAGCTTGTGAGGAGTCACACTTACTGGCTGCACAAAATGCTCTCTTCACCTTCATCAATGATAGCAATGCTCCTGTGGTTTTTCAAAAAATCACATTGAAAACTCACTCAAGATACATGGCAGTACAAGCAAGGACTTGCCTGCCTAAGCACATTTCCTCCTAAGTGCACATCTGCCTTGTTGATGTGGGCTGTCCTCACTATCTGATATTATCTAATAAAAATATTGGACAAAATGTTTGCTGTTGGATATGTTGTCAAGTTTGCTCCAACTCCTGGTAAGTTGGACTGCTGTAATCAGGTTTTCAGAAATCGATGGTCAGATCTTTCTTTCTTCCTGCTGTTGTTGCTGTTAAGTGCCATGGAGGTGGTTCCAACTCATAGTGACCCTGTGCACAACCAAAGAAAGCACTGCCTGCCTGGTCCTGCACCCTCCTCACAATTGTTACGCTTGAGCCCATTGCTGCTAACAGTGTGGCAATCCATCTCCATGGGGGTCTTCCTCTTTTTCTCTAACCCTCTACTTTACCAACCTTCTCTAGGAACTGGTCCCTCTTGATAATATATACAAAGTATAAGATAGGGAGTCTTACCATCCTGGCTTCTAAGGAGCATTCTGGCTGTACTTTTTCTAACACAGATTTGTTTGTTTTCCTGGCAGACCATGGTAACTAAAATTTTCTTCTTTAACAACACACTCAAATACATCAATTCTTCTCTGGCCTTCCTTATTCACTGTCCAAGTTTCACAAACACGACGAGAGTACTAAAAATACCATGGCTTAGATCAGGCATATCTTAGTCCTCAAACTGACATCTTTGCTCTTGAGCACTTTCAAGAAGTTTTGTGCAACAAATCTGCCTAATGTAATACATCGTTTGATTACCTGACTGCTGCTTTCATGAGTGATGATGGTGGATCTTAGCAAAATGAAGTCTTTGACAACTTCAGTCCTTCCTCCATTTATCTTTATGCTACTTATTGGTATGCTAGTGCGATGTGCCGTGGAGTCGGTTCTGACTCATAGCGACCCTGTACAGGGTTTCTGAGGCTGTAAATCTTTACGGGAGCAGAAAGCCTCACCTTTCTCCTGTGGAACAGCTGGTAGTTTCGAACTGCTGACCTTGTGGCTTGCAGCCCGATTTGTAACCACTATGCTACCAGAGCTCCTTACTTATTGGTATAGTGGAGATTTTTTTCTTTACATTGAGGTGCAGTTTTTATTGAAGACTGTGGCCTTTGATCTTCATTTGTAAGTATTTTAAGTCCTCTTTACTTTAGCAAGCAAAGTTATATCCTCTGCATTTCTCAGTCTTCCTCCAATCCTTTTTTTTAAATACCTGAAAAAATTAGTAACTTGATTATTCATATTTTCAAAATGTCCTTTGTTTCTTGCTGTTTATACTCCTAGATCATTTTTTTAAAGCTTTTATTGTGAGTTGAGAGATAGTTTACATGGCAGAACATCAGTTTCATACTCAACTAATCGAATTTTTTTTTCATTGCAATAATTACAATTCCCTGTATGTACCATCACCTAATAGTATTTGCCTCTATTCTGTCTTATTTATTTTCTGATATACACAAAAACACGGAGGAATATATAATTATTTAAACAACCAAAGGACACATTTTGCAAGGCAGCCCCCTGCCCACTAGCACACAGCCTTCCTCTTTCCATGAGTCTGGAGTCCTTAGTAGCTCGCTCTCTCCATGCCATCACCTCTGCCTCTGTTTCTGGTGGCGCTGCGTCTCTGCTTAGGATCTCATGGTCTGTTCCTGGTCTTCCCTCTTGATGGTTCTAGGGTGCTCTGTTCTGGAATGTAAAATTTACTCCCTCTTTTTTGTTGTATATCTCTTATTTTTACAGTTGTGACAATCACATTTAATCATGATAACAATTACTCACTATTGAATCAAAAGAATCCTATCCCCATCTCCTTTGACCAGACCCATCCAGACAAGATGAAAACTATTCAGTGGGGATTCTACCTTGCTCCCATCGCTCTGAAACTAAACTTTCTCTTGAAAATTGTATGCTAGCCACTTTGTGCCTTTAATGCCCTCCTCCCCTCATTTTTAGGTAGCCAATATCTTAAGTGGCCTGTCCCTGTCAACCCTGTGTACTGAGGGGATAGGCTTGATCCTTGATGTGAAGACTCCTTCCCTCTGCGTTTGTATTTTGAGCAGCTACATCCTTAAGCAAAGGCCAAGTTCATCACATTGTAGTAATGTACACTTACATATCAGCTGGATGCTTCACTTTCAGCTGCAGTCCCCAGTGGCTAGGTCAGGGTCCATGGGCTCAGGAGTTTCCAAGTCTCTACAAAATTTGGACCAACCAGTCCTTCCTCTTGTCTCTCATCTCAGGTCGACAGGAATCTTCTTCCAATCTTGATGCCACATTCTACTTCATATATTCCAGTTTCTCAGATTGTTTGCTCAGGATACAGATTTCTCTTAAAGTAGAAGCTCCGCTGGAACCTGCTCAGCATCTCAACAACATGCAAGCCTCCACTGATAGGTGAGTGGTGGCTACACTCGGGGCTTGTCTGGAATTTGGGCCCAGGTCTCCAAAATAGAGGGCAAGAATTGTATCAGTGAATCATCACTGCTTCCATGAAAACATTAGCATTGGAGATTTGTGATATCGAGATCTTTTGGTCTAGTATTTTCCATACAATATGTGCATGAATCATTTATTTCAGGAAGATCAGCACACGGCTGGTCCCTGTGAGGCAGAATTTAAAGATGTTCCAAATGGCCAACTGTTTCAAACTGCTGTATCACTCTATTATCTCTAACATCGATTTATTCTCCTTCCCCAAGCACTCTCCATCCTGTTTTGGGATTCTGTAATTAGCTGCAACTCACAAACCACCAAAGAAAAGGTTCAAGTGGTTGTAAAGGCTGGCAAGGCCCAAATCTGTGGGTGAGGCATCAGTCTGGAGAGGAACCCAATTACAGGCTCACCACGCTGGCGAATCCAGTCCAACAACAGGCTCTGTCTCAAGTTCTAAGAACTTGGGGTGGGATCAAGAGCCAGATGCAGGAGCCAGAGCGACAGAGCTTTGCTAGAACATTCATATATGTTGGATGCAGACTATCCTCAAGAAAACTAAGGGTAGTGACTTGTGCTATATCCTCTAGTATGGTGGTGACTCAAGACATGTTAATGAGGCAGGATTAGAGTAGGCTACAACAGACAACTCACTCCAAAATGGGATAATCCATAAAGTTTAGGATTTCTCATTCCTTACAAACTGGAGGACTATGGCTTTATTGTTGTGAAGTGCCGTTGGGTCACTTCTGACCCAGAGTGACCCCATGTACAAAAGATGGAAACACTGCCTGGTCCCGTACCATTCTCACAGTTGTTCTCATGTCTGAGCTTGTATTTTCTCAGCCACTGAGTCTCAGAAGGCCCATAGTAAGTAATTCATTATAGTGCAATATAGTGTGCATGTCACTTGTGGTCATCATGATGATTTTAAGGTACATGCATTCATTTTTGGAGTCCTGGTGTGGCACTGTGGGTTAATGCGCCAGACTGTAAAGCCATTTGAACTGCAAGGCCGGCAGTTCAAGCTCACCAGCTACTCCTTAGAAAGCCTATACAAGGTCGCTATGGGTTGGAATCAACTCGATGGCACGTAACAACAACAACATTCATTTTAGTATGTATAAGATATATCTATATCTGACCCAAGCCATGGTATTTTCAATAACCTCATATGCATGCAAAAGCTGGACAGTGAATAAGGGAGACCGTAGAATTGATACATTTGAGTTATGGTATTGGAGGAGAATATTTAAAGTGCCATGGGCTGCCCATAGAACCAAAAGATCTGTGTTGGAAGAAGTGTAGCCAGAGTGCTCCTTGGAGACCAGGATGGCCAAACTTTGTCTCTCACACTTCGGATATATTGTCAGGAGGAAGCAGTCACTGGAGAAGGATATCATGTTTGGTAAGGTGGAGGGCCAGAGGAAAAGACCCCCCAGTGAGATGGATTGGCAAAGTGACAGTATCAGTGGGCTCAAGCATGGCAACAATTGTGAGGTTGGCCCAGGACCGGGCTGTGTTTCATTCTGTTGTGCATAAGGTCGCTATGAGTCGGTACTGACTCAGTGGCACCTAACAACAACATATCTATATATCTAACACAGCAGTCACTTCATGTGGTAGCACCACTCAAGCTGGACTCATTAACCAACAACTAGGCCAGTGTCTCCTTAGATACTTTCTGGTCCAATGTGTTTACCTGTGGGGCACCTGGAGGCTGATGAGCCCCAGATGTGGGAAGATGAGTCCCTCCTACCACCCTGCCCTGGTGACTGTGGACACATGTTTCCTGCCACTCTACACCTGAACTGTTCTGTGAGGATGGTTTCACCATAGCACCCAGCCTCTGGGTTCAGCAGACTTCCTTTCTCAAATCAGACACAACAGTCCCTGTGGTTTTGAAGTATTTAATTAAAAAAAAAAAAGGGGTGCCTGGCATGTTAATAGTTAGATCTACAAACTTGACACGTTTTTAATATTAGAATTTACCTATGTGTATTACATTGCCTAAGAAAATAAGGTCTATCAAGACATGAACAATATACTTCAAGAATTCATTATTAGGGTATCGAACTTTGCAAATAAGCATCCAGTTTACCTATAATAAACCACTGTGAGCAAATTTAACTAAGTGTAAACATTAGTTAAATACAATTCGCTGGAAATATACATTATACCTACAGCTGTTTTTACAGTGAGGATCCTTCTATTATTTTTCCTCTTAATTATCAAAATGGCAAATCACTGTATGGTCCTGGATCTCCAAGCTATAAAACTGAAATATGTGTTTCCGGCGTAGCAGATGGTGACCAGGAAGGCAAAGAACTGGAGGGGAGAAACAAACAAACAAACAAACAAACATAATAGGAAGGGCGTTTAGGGCATGTTCTAATTAGGAAAAGTTACCATTCACCTCCACTGAATTACACACTCCCAGCATTCCCCTGACTCCCTGCCTTCTAATCTGAAATTACTTTATTCAATTACCGTCTCTCTCAAATGCTTTCTGGTTCTGCTGTTTTTATTTTTTGGACCTCATCTGTAGTTATGCTCAAATAACCACAGGGAGTTCACTTAGGAGATGACAGAGGTGCCTCTGAGAGAAGTACAAGTATTTCTAATTCAGTATAGGCAATTTTATAGACCAGGCTTTAATCTGAGATTGCCACAGGACCCATCAACATAAAGGAGTCAAGTGGGCTAGAGTAAGCCATGACTCCATGTGCCTGAGAGATGTGAATGGGGGATGACTCAACCCCTTCCTAGGGAATAGTCACTGCCTGGTTCCAGCCAATCATTGTCACGTGTGGCCAAAGCGCGTGCTTTTTAATCACATGTGTACTCACACTTTCTGTCTTAAATATAAAGTTTTCAAATATAAAAATTAGAATATGGAGATTTAAAAATTATAAATGAGTAAAAGAGTACAATGAGCTCCCTGTACTTACCAATCAGCTTTTTTTTTTAATTTAAGGTTTTTATTGTGGATTGAGTGAAAGTTTACATGGCACATCATCAGTTTCACATACAACCATTCATATAACTTGTTTCATTACATTGATGATAATCCCCTCCATATACCATCAGTTAACAGTGTTTCTCTCCATCCTCTTTAGCTTTTTTTTTTTTTTTTTTTTTTGTGGGCGGGGGAAAACTTTGCCTTTTTGGAATTTACAGTCTCGGCTTTTAGGGAAGGTTTTAACATTTATCTGTGGATATCCAGGGCTCATGTATGAGATTACTAGCAAGCATACTGAATAATCAGATGAGGGCCAGTTTGCTATGTCTGCTAGGTGACTAAAGTCTGATCCTTGGAGCCTATGGTTTGGACAGTCTGCAACGCTTGGGCCCACAGGGCCTTGAACTCCTGACCGGGTCTGCACAGTCTGCCACAGATTCCCCCTTATTTATTATTTGTTTAAGGGACGCTGCCTGTCTTAGGCAGTCAGTGCGAATTCCTCCGTCTTACCCGTCATCGAAACTCATTGCAGCATAGCAATGGCTCTGTCTTAGGTTGCCGAGGTTCCACGTGATCCTTACCCGTCTCTGGCCACACATCCAGCATAAACAGCCGCCATCAGAAGAAGGCAGGGAGGGAGGAGACCGGGTGGGGACCCCACATGCAAGACCTTGCCAGACCACCACCTGCTCTAAGGTGACCGAGCAGGACCACTATGCTGAGGTTCAATCAAGTTCATAGGGGATCTTAATCTCTAGCAGAGGTAGCAAACTAAAAGCCACTCAGGGCTCAGCTTGAGAATTACTTATATCAGAAATTTGAGCATGTAGCTGATGAATATCCACAGATAGGTGGCTATTATTCCACAACCTCCTAAAATGCTGTTGAATTACTCAATCAGCTTTTGATATTATCATTCTGGTATCTCTCTTCTGTCACATCCGCATCCCCAACCCTACTTCTTTCGGGGCTGGGATATTTTAATGCCAATGTCAGAGAATTCTTAAAAGTAGTCTTGTAAATGTGCAAATAATATATCCCTATGGTTAAAAGGAGCTCTGGTAGCGTAGTGGTTACAAATCAGGGTCAGCAGTTTGAAACTACCAGCTGTTCCATGGGAGAAAGATGAGGCTTTCTGCTCCCATAAAGACTTATAGCCTCGGAAACCCTGTACAGTGTCGCTATGAGTCGGAACCGACTCCACGGCACACAACAACATGGTTAAAAAATATGCACAGTACAGAATCATAAAGGTTAACAATCAGAATTCCTTCATTTTACTCCATTTATCCCCCAAACCCGAGCCGTGGAAGGAACTTCTGTCGGGATATATTTTTTCCAGACATTTTCAATGCATAAACATTTCTACTTTACGAAAACAAATAGTTCTACTTTACAAAAACAAATAGAATCATACTATGCTCATTTTCTACAGCATTTCCTCCACTTAATCAACTGTAGGCAGTCGAATTACTCTCAGAATGCCTCAAACACATTTTCTACTCCTCCCAATACCTATTTGGTTCTACCCATTTGGTTTTCACTCAAGCAGAGTGTCTCACTTCAGGCCATTAGAAACCCAGAACAAAACCACTGTTGTGATTTGGGTGAAAGTTTACAGAGCAAATTGGTTTTCCATATACGCCATACACATTTTGTTTCTTGATACTGATACAATCCCCACAAGGTAACAGTACTCTTCCCACTTCCATTCTGCTTTTCTCATTTCCATTCTTCTTTCTTTCCTATCCCTTTAGAGTCATCCACAACTTTCAATGCTCTTTACATTTGACAATGAGTCAATACTGCAAATGGTACCAGTTTCTGCAGAGAACTGGTCTCCTCCCAGGCCCCAGGCAGGCCCTCCAGGGAGACAAGAGGGAAGTCATGGGGAATGAGGGCTCACTCACCGAGGCTGCTGCCCAGCTGTTGAAGTTGTGGCTGTCCCTCTCCGGGGAAACAGAAGCTGCATCTACCACTGCAGCGGAGAGATATAAGATGAAGGCACTTCCATTGAAACACAATCCCTGGAGAAGGAGTGGGGCACAGTGTTTAGGAGGAGGGAAGGAAGCCTGGACACAACGTTTGGGCATCTCTGGATCACAGAAGTGCTCAGAGCTGCATTTTGGGTGTGGTTAGGGCCCCAGTTGGGACTTTCGAGAGCAGAGGATGAGGATTGGGAGAAGGTAGCTCTCTATAGTATGTGGGTGTAGGAGGTGGAGCAGGAAGGACACACGGAAAGCGGTTTCACACCAGCTTTTTTACAGCATACCTCAGCACACCCAGATCTGGCCACAATAGCCACACTGCATGCTGCCCATTAGCCACTTCTCTCCCTCATTTGATGTTTATTTTAATTTGTGGTAAAACATATATAATAAGATTTTTATCATTTCAACCATTTTTAAATGTACAATTCAGTGACATAATTACATTCACCATATTAAACAATACAAATTATCACTATCCTTTCCAACAATTTCCCATCACCTCAGATAGAAACACAGTACCACTTAGGTGCTAACAATTTCCCCTCCCTGTAGCCCCTGGTAACCACGAATGCCCTTTGGTTTCTAGGAATTTGCCTAATCTAGCTATTTTGTAAGGAACTCTAGTAGCTTAGTGGGTTATGAGTTGGGTTGCTAACCAGCAAGGTCAACAGTTCGTATCTACCAGTCACTTTCTGCTCCGGTAAAGATTTACAGCCTCAGAAACAACACAGGGTTGTTACGAGTCAGAACTGACTCCATGGCAATCCACCACCACCACCAGATATTTTGTAGAAGTGGGGTCATGCAGTACTTATCCTTTTGTGTCTGACTTATTTCACTCAGGATGCTGCTTTAAAGGTCAGCCATGTACTAGTGTATAAGTTAGTGCTCCACTTCTCCTTGTGGTTGAGGAATACTCCACTGTATGCACATACAGCCTCACCTCATTGTATTGTGTTTGCATAGGCTGTATTTCCACAAATGGAAGATTTGTGGCAACCATGGCATGGATCAAGTCTATCAGTGCCATTGTTCCATGTGCTCACGTGGGGTCTCTATGCTACGTGTTGGTAATTCTTACAATACTGCAACATTTTCATAATGCTACTGTACACTGAAGGAGCTCTGGTAGCACAGTGATTATGAATCGGGCTGTGAATCACAAGGTCAGCGTTCGAAACTACCAGCTGTTCCATGGGAGAAAGATGAGGCTTTCTGCTCCCGTAAAGATTACAGCCTTGGAAACCCTGTTCAGGGTTGCTGAGTCAGAACCGACTCCACACGGCACATAACAACAACTGTACATTTAATGGATGACAGTATAATATAAACATAACTTTCATATGCACTGAGAAATAAAAAAACAAGGTGTTACTTCTTTTAGTATGGTGGCCTGGAACCAACCATGCAATCAATATCTCTGGGGTATGCCTGTAGTACGTTCATCTATTGATGGACACTCGGGCAGTGAACACTTGGGCACCTCAATGTGCTCCTGACGACCTTTTCATCCAGACTGCAGCTGTGCCACACTAGGAGATTTCCCTCAGCCTGTGGCCCAGCAAGAACTGCAACCCTTCATCAGCACGTGGCTGCACACAGAGCTAGGAGAGAGCTTGTCCTAAAGCAGGCCCAGCTGGTTTTCTAACCCCTAAGCTCTGAACATGGAGGGGTATTACAGTGAGCTCCTCTGTCCTAGCTGCAAGTTCTTAAAAATTAAAAGGAGCTAATACTCTAGCCCTTGGGGAACTTACCTCACCTTATGTATTTCCTAGTCTTAGAGAAGAGAAATATGTAAATCTAAGCAAGTATTTGGCTTTCAGTTATATTTAAGCTCTAGGAAATCACACTTTAAAATGTTCAAAGCTTGGTCTTATCTGAACAAGGACAGAGGACTGGGGGTGAAGCCAACAGTAGAGCCCAAGCTTTACAGAGGCAGAAGAGAGATGGAGTTTAAGGAGCAGCAACCCCTCGCCTCCCGCCAATGGCTCTTGCCACCCCTCTCTTCAAAACCTAGAGAAATGGGCAGGGGAAGGGGGAAGAAGCAATACATTTTGCTTCCCAGAGGGGAAAAAGGCACATATTCTGGAATCACCTTAACATTATATGTACACTGCTGCTGTGTTAGATAAGAATTTAAAACGGGCTTTGGCAGGGTCGGTTCAGGGTTCAGGTGAAAGAGCCACTCATTAGTCATTAAAAATGTGACCCCAAGAATCCCTGAATGACTCATTATGACTGGTGGTTGTATTTTTTGGTCTAGGAACACATTTGTGTATTTAAAAAAAAACAAAACATACTGGTATATATATTTTTAATTGCTACACCGTTTCTTAGAATATAAAACTTTACATATTTACTATTTACCAAGTGTTATGGATTGAATTATATTGTAAATCCTAACTTTATGCCTGAGGTTATAATCCCATTTGGAAATGGGTTGTCTTTGTTAAGGGCTGTGAGTCGGTTCTGACTGCTAGTCACCCTGTATAGAATTTCCAAGGAGCACCTGCTGACTTTGACCCAGTGACCTTGCGGTTCAAACTGACCTTTTGGTCCAGTGCATTACCCTGTAGCACCATACCAGGAGTCTTTGAGTCAGTCTCTTGGGAAATATAAAAGAGATGAAAACAAGCAAGCTAAGAAACAGAGGCGAAAGAGAGCTAGCAGGCCATATGCAGATAGTTCAGGAATGGAATCTCAGGAGAAAGAAAGCTTTCCCCTACTGGGGGCACTCTAAATTTGGATTTTTAGCCCCCTAAACTGTGAGAGGAATCCTGGTGTGGTGCCGTGGACTAATGCATCAGACTGCAAAGTCATTTGAACTGCAAGGTTGGTGGTTTAAGCTCAGCAGCTTCTCTTTGGAAACCCTACACAGGGTCACTGTGGGTCGGAATCGACTTGACGGCATTTCACAACAACAAAGTGCGAAAAATAAATTTGTTTGTTGAAGCTATTCATTTGTGCTGTTTTTATTATTGCAGCATTAGGTAACTATACATTAAGTATATAGTGCATATTCCACCCAACCCCATCCTTAGAAAACAGAAACAGTTAAATGTAGTTGCCTCTGAAGAACAGGCAACTCTCGTTTCATTTTGCCCTGGAGTGGTGCTGTAGGATAAGCATTGGACTGATAACTGCAAGGTTGGCGGTTCAAACCCAGCAGCTGCTCCTTGGAAACCCTATACAGGGTTTCCAAGAACTGATTCGACAGCACTTAGCACACTAAAACCAATGCCCATGAACTGATTCTGATTCCTAGTGATCCTTCTGCACAGAGAATCGCCCCATAGAGTTTCTAAGGCTATGATCTTTAAGAAAGTTAACTGCCATGTCTTTACTACATGGACTGGCTAGTGGGTTTGAACCACTGACCTTTCAGTTAGCAGCTAAGCACTTAACCACACTGTGTCGCAAAGGCTCCTCTCCTACACGTCTACGAAAAAACAAAACCAAGCTCACTGTCACTGAGTCAGCTCTGACCCATAATGGCCCTTGATAGGGTTTGCAAGGCTGTAAATCTTTACAGGAGCAATTTCATCTTTTTCCTGCAGAACTGCTGTTGGGTTTGAACCACTGATCTTGTCACCAGGGCTCCTTATTGTTCTACAGTGGGGGCTAGATTTCTTTTTCTTTAACAAATTAGCCATGCATTACTGCAGTCAAAGTCCCAGCTGAACTGAACAATCTGGAATAAAAAATTTTGCCTCCCTTTCCACCTAAACTTACTTCCCTAGGGGGCAGACCTTTGTCAAGAAATGGAACCATAACAATTTGCTCTGTGTCTTCTCATTTAAAAAGACTCCAAAGGCATCTTTAAATGTCACTCCAAATAGATTAAATGAATTTCTTTTCATGGCTGGTGCATTCATACCTCATAATTTAACTTTGGTTTTGTTGACGGGCATTTCCATGTTCCTAGCTTTTCCACTGTGACAAATACTGTTGCACTGATTATCTTTGAGCATGTATTTTGGAGAATTTACGTGTGCTGGTTCCCTCTACAATGGATTGAGTATGAATGATAGAAAGTACAACCTGGCAGACTGACCTGACACAGGTCCTAGGCCTTGTTGGTACAGCATTGTGGAGGGAAGGAGGGAACAGACAGGAAAAGGAAAAGACTCCTTAGGATATGACCTGCTTCTATGCAATGAGCTCTTTGGAAGTACACCCCACCCAGTTCATTTTTCTCAGTTTTAAAGAAATGAGAAGCTCCATTTCCTTTGGAGAGAAATGAGGAAGGAGCTAGAACAGACACAAGAAAAGGCAGGACATTATTACTCCATTCAATACCTCAATGGGATATCTCATAGGTTTATTGTAAGCCTCCAATGACATTTTTCCCAATGCCTAAACTTTTGTTTTTAAAGTTTTTATTGTAAATCGATTAATAGTTTACATGGGAGAGCATCAGCTTTTCGTTCATGCTATCGTATTTCGTTTCATTGCAATGATTACAATCCCATCCATGTATCATAATTCAACAAACAGCATTTGCTTCCAATCCCTCTTTTTTTTTCTTTTTTTTTGATGAACACTGTAACCATTCAAACAACTAGAGGGTACACCCTGCATGCCAGCCCCCCCTTCCCCCCACCCCCCCCGCTGCCAGCACACAGCCCCTCTCCCTCCCTGAGTCTAGAGTTCCCAGCCACTCCATCTCTCCCCATCATCATCTCAGCCTCCATCTCTGGTGTCACTGTTTCTCTGGGTAGGGTCATGCACTCCGCTTTTCTCCCTTGATGGTCCCAGGGTCCTCCACTCCTGGACTTGCAAGATCAACCACTCCCCTCCTTTTGTTACAAAATGTCTACCTTTACATTTCCAACTTTCACAATGCCTAAATTTTTAGCTTACCCTGTCTTAAGGAACATTGGTTGTACAGTTTTTAAGCCCTTGGGTTGGTGGTTTGAACCCAGCCAAGAGCTCCATAGGAGGAAAAAACCTTGTCAGGAAACCCTATGTTGTTGTTTAGTGGAGTCAGTTCTGACTCATAGCGACCCTGTCTAGGGTTTCCAAGGAGCAGCGGC